CACGGAATTTCTACTGTCAATTTACATTTCCTCGAGAGAGTCTGACCATGGCTTGATATATGTCGAAGAGGCTGCAAAGTACTGGCTGCAAAGTACTGAACAGCAGTACGCAAGGCAAAGCTCTCTGGACGATCAACCTGGTGGAGGAGTTTATTCATAATACTGTACATTGTCCACGTTCTGGCTTAGGAGTATTATTACGACTCGCCTTCACGAGGAAAGGAGATAGAGAATCACGGACGCCGACACACTAGAACTGCATCATAGGGTTAGCTACGCCATCTGTGGCTGCTCCCAGCAGGGTCACCTTCTTCGCTTCAGTCTTCACAGTTTTCGTCTAATTGCTTGCTACTGCAAACAGAACGTGGATCAGGGCCCTGGGACAGGGCCACACCACTCGGCAACACCACTCAACAACAATCAACATGCCTGCTTCTTCTTGCCGCAAAATATTGACGAGCTTGCAATGATAATGCCAGGTTATGGGGTGCTGCTACACAGACATCCATTTTCAGGGCTAGCTCATTTAGCAGGTACGCTGTTACGGGCTTCTAAACGGATTCAAACACCCTGATAACTGCTGACGTATGAAGATGTACTGGCAGCTTTCCTACATTGGCAACTTGACCAAGCTCTGGCCTTACCGCCCACTGCCAGTTCTGCACTCCAAAACTTGGCTGTTAGACGTTCAGATAGTTGCCATCAATTCATTGAAGTAACTACCGGCTCTACACACGAATTTGAGAATAGCCGGAGGGATACGTTATCGCAGGTCTGTAATCATTCGTTCTACCTCATGATGTAAGTTTAACTCCAGCCATGCTTAAAGAACCTTCAAAGGATACCAGTTGCTGGAAGGTTCGTTTTACCCTTCGGCTCTGTGCCTAGGTAAGACGAACGAGTTGACGCTAGTACCGCTACGAGCCTCAACCTTGCCTGATTTAGTCCTACTCAGTCAGACTTTACTATTTGTCGCATTCTAAAGAACATGATACAACTAAGACTAACGGAGAGTTCGTTGTTATTCGTAAGTGAGAGGAGCACCACAAGCGGGCTCCCTGGACCAACGTCCGAACGGGACACAAGGTGAACATTTCAGCTAGACTTGGCCAGCGAAAATGATAGATCGTTGCTCTAAAAAAAATCCTTTTAAAAGGAAACTAATCTGACAGCGTAGTGTACTGCGGGGCCCATGAGGCTCCCCAGTCACAGAGCAACTCTAGAGGCACACCATTATTTCTTCTCATATGGTTCCCTTAATGCTCTGCAGATAATTAGGAATTAAAAAGCAATTCTGAATGGGAGAGGCTAAGTCTCTAGTAAAATCGGCTTCGCTCCTTTAGCGTGATGGCGCTTGGTCACCCGCAGCCCCACTTAAATCCTCCTTTGTACTCTTCGGGCAATAGGATAGCGCCAAGTGTTACCAAACATCATACAGAAATTGACCCTTATGCATTTATACAGAGGAAAAGCTGAGAAATTGGAAGAACTGGGCCCACAGAGCAAGTTATTTGAGTCTGAGAGGTAGACGCTATATTCTGATGCAAAAACAAAGCACTGCTCGAGGGCGCTCTAGTGCTTGGAGCCACTAACCAGTTGCTCCCAAGGAAGACACCTGAGGTACCAAACTTAAATCTTATTTCCAGCGTGTACCCTCATAGTGCCGCTTCTATGGAGGCGACTCTATCAGGCAAGATGAGCAGCCGCAGCTCCGCATACCAGAGGCTGTTTACCTACTGCTTTTATTAAAGCACAGTGTCTTTCGAATCTACGGACGAAAATATATTTGAATAGATTAACATGGCTCCTAAGTAATACTTTAATGCAGCGCTCTTCGTTTTTAGCATGAGCATAACTTGATTTGAAGCTGATCGTACGTCATGTACCCATGCGGCGAGTGCTCTCTCCCAGGGAAAATACCGGAAGATCCCCTCATTTTTTCACAAAATTCATTCCCAATTTGAAAGAAATTATTCGTTCCTCTCGGTTAGCAAGATGCTCGTCGAACACGTCAGCAGGCTGGCGATCCCTAGGGGAGAGAAACCAATTTGCGAACTATGTGCTCAACCAGCCGAGTATAAATGCACAGCATGCCCCGGATGGTTCTGGTAAGGCATTGGCACTGATCTGGAAGATAGAGCGAAGCAATGAATGCTATCACGGCGGCTTCATGGGATACATTTCGCCGGGTACTGCAGCGAAGTGGGCTGACTGCCTGGGTCACCTACACGAGTTGTATTGAAGGTTTTCAGCTCTGTCTCCCGCGGATATAAAAGAAATTGGAGTTGCTTCTTTCCGTGTTTTGGGTCTCGTTGTGCTGATAAATTCACGGAACATTTTGTTGAAGTTGAAGTGTGGTTTACCGTAATGGTTGCCGTGTCTGCAGTTCAGTCAGACACTTCAGAGTTGCTTGGGACGGCGTTTTGCACATCATCCACCGTGAGCTCAAACTACTTCAAGAAACTCCAACATTTATAGGCTCCGAGAGGGAGCGGCAGGAATACAAAAAGAAGAGGAGGCAGATCGCTGTAGGCATGAGAGGTGTTGCCAGCTATCCCTTCTGTTGTGCAACAACCTACAGATCCGTTACTGATTTCTTTGAGTTAGTTCCAACAAAAGGCATTAGTTTTATTGGGGATACTGATGCGTGTTTTTCGTTATGAACACAGAATGTCGTCCTAGAAGCGAGCACTGCTGCCGCCCAGTCATGGGTTGTACAGGGTAACTTCAACTTGGCTGTGGCTGGAGCTTTGTACGCCGCGAGGACAGCAGAAATTCTTTATGGGTTGAACTCTTTGGAGGTCGTTCAACCCCAGCTACTCTTAGCCCAGATATACCTAGGTACACTTTAGATGCAGAAAAGCCTTTGCTTTAGGTGCTCTAAAAAAAATCTGGAACTCATTAAGTTGAAGCACTGTACCTATGGTTGATTCCCACTTTCTAATTTGAAAGTCAGGGAAGGTCGTTGGCATCTGTCTTGAAATAATTCAGGGCTACAACAGCTTAACTCGGCAGAGGAGTTGTTAAGCATGGTGAAACTCTGAAATACATGAACTCCCTATACCTACTGCTCCCAGGGAACACCAGCTCAAGCATAGTGTGCGCAGCACATCGAGTTCAATATATGGACAGTCCGCTGCATGCGAAAAACAACAGGCTGACCACGTACTCTCGAAACACCCAGAAGCTGGTAAATTGGCGAGATGCAGCCTCTACAGGAATTTCGGCAGATTATTCGCGTCTCAGAACAAGTACGATCAGGCTCTTCGTGCATGCGCAATGGACGTGAGCTGAACAGCGCAGGGCTAACTCGGTTTTACTCACCCAATATTAAAAATATAAATAAAGCCATGCGAAAATGCATATTGATCTCTCAGCAGTGTCACTTGATCTCATTAAGGACTTCGCGTCGAGACCAATGCATTCACCCAGGTTTACTATGCCGCCTGTGAGTTCGGCCCCACAAACTTCCGGGTTGTCCCGTCCTTTTTTAATATGGTGAGCTCCTTTACACAAGCCCTAAGCAAATAGTGCTAAATTTGGCCGTAATGACCCTTCAGCAGGTCACCCTGGCTCTTGTTCAGGCAGAAGTTTTCAAGAGAAGCGGCACTGCAAACTCCCACTCTGCATGCTCTGCAATCTACGTCAACATCTGCGAGATTATCATGAATTGGTTCGAGCAAACTGCGTGCACTTTTGTTCATGATGCGGCGAACTCCTTGGCAAATGCCATTGCAGAGGAGAGCCAAAACAAGCAGCAAATGTACAGTGCGTCATTTACTCCAATAAAACATCAATTAGTTAACACGCGATTCCCTAGGTTTCCCTGAAACTGAGTGCTTGCATGAAAAAGTATGCCACTTGCAGCTTCCACTGTCAGGCTCCACTGTGTTCATTTGCCTTGTCGCCTGCAGCGGATCTAGAAATTCGTGAAGCGATAGAGAACATGCGCCACGTAGTGAATTACTCTAGCAAAGATCCGCTAAGGGAAACGAAAATCCACTGTGAGCCGAAATATTCCCTTGTTACCGCGCTGCTGTCCGTCGTTTGCGCGGCAAGATGCAAAGTCAAGCGGTACATTTGGCACCGCTTGTACTTTCATCCTCAGATATGGCCCATTGTGCACTGGGCTTGGTCTATGCATATGCTAAGGAGCTTGATAAGGCAAGAAGTCATCTACAGGAGGTGATACACATATGCACACGCTCCTGCAGTCCAGCTGGTTCATCTGCTCCGTGTTCAAGAAGTCTGTGAAAGTGAAAAGCGTGTAGCCTGTCCTCTGAAAACAAGTACTGGGTCTCGGCAACAATGACTGACATTCTACACTTCTGATGCCTTCAGGCTCGTCAAGCTTGCAGCGCACAGGGCAGTACTGACAACACATTCCTTCGAAAGTGTGAAATATATGAAAACGTCATTAGTGCAATGGAATCCCAGTCCCGGCAGATTTCCTTACAGGCAGCCCAGTAGAAATTTATCACGAGATGATGAAACGGGCGTTGTTCCCGTTGTCCAATCGACCGCAGCGCTGCAAATCCTGTATCCTGTATCTTATTCCCTCTTGCTTGAAGTTAGCAAAGCTTGCATGCATCTTTCTGGATCACGACTTTCATCTCCACTTTTAATACCGACGAAAGGCGGTAAAACAACTGAACCACCTGGTGTAGTTTTACGGGGTGTCACTACGCTAGAAAGAAGCGTTGAGTCGGCGTCCGTTCGACCATGTAGAAAGACGCCTGGCCTAGACGCGCTAGGGGATTTTTTTCAGATACCTAGGAAGTTTCTTTTTCATTCTAAACAAAGAAAATGCGTCATCAGATCCTGTGGCCCGCGGTGGTAGCTGTAATCTTTGCAACCCCTGTTTCCGCGCTTAGGCGCAGCAGCGACAGATTGGACGTAGCTACACCTCTGTCCTTCGCTCACCGTTTTCAACAACAAACAGCAGGCAAGAAGGCTACTCTTTGTGCGTAAAACATTTATTTGAAAGAATGCACCGCTAGATGACGAGGAGGCTGAACCTGATGATGTACGAAAGATGTTGTATCGGGATTCGGTGTCCTGTCTTCAGCTTAACCCTTCCAAAGGCAGAAACTACAGTCGTCGCTGAAGCACAGCAGGCTGATGCGCTGGAGGATAACTGGTCGTCTCGCCAAGAAGCGAACGACGTGAGTCCGTTGCATGCATAAATGCAACGAGGAAATTGCGCAGTTTCTCTGCCTGTTTGGGGTGTCTACAGGAAGAAGCGAAACGACATGACGACGAATCCGTTACAAAGGAGCTGAAAAAGGACGCGAAGGAACAGGCGCGACAAATATCTGGGGAAGCAGGTTTGATGTTTTTATAAGCATAAGTGAAAATTTCGCAACTCAAATGACAAGCAGCAAAAGAGACGGCGATGATGCTTCGTGACCTCGAATGTATGTCGACCAGTACAGCTGGACTGCAGACTTCACCAACAGCACTTCAGCTGAGAGTGAATTAGAGGAAGATGTCATGAACCGAGAAGACAAAGACAGAAAGGAAGAGCTAGCTGAAGAACACAAAAGGGCGGTCGTGAGCAAGTAGAAATTAGTCCCTGCATCTTCATTGGGACACATCCCATGCCTATAGGATGCACAAAAAGCGGCAGAAGAGGCTGTCCACGAGGCTAACGAAGTTACAGCAGAGAAGCCAGAAATTGTCCCCACAGAATCCAAATTAGACTTAGGTTAGTCTGTCTCCGTCAGCGGCTTCAAGAGGTCCTAGCGAGGGCCGATGTATCCCCGACGCCCTCGGCGTCTCCCAGCTGCAGCTAGCGGCGAACAATTAATATCCGCAGCAGAGCAAAAGGAAAAAGAAGAAGTGAGGGTTTAAACTTAACGCACTCCTCACGTGACTGTGAAGCGCGTGACAATAGCCACCGGCATCTGAATTGGGCACATGGATAGAGTCTCGCGAGGATGTGAGCCGTTTCTTTCCATCCCCATACACTGCATTTAATAGCTGGGCTGCACTGGCAGCTGGGAGTTGATTGCGACAAGCCCGAAGTGCCGTCGAAGTGCCCCGCAAGTTTACTTTTACAGCGTGGAAGCTCTACAAATTCACCCCTCAACCGCGCTATTTCAGAATGTTCGCAAGAAGTTGAAAAAACTCGCAGCAGAAGAACAGAGTCTTGAGGTAAATGACGTCAAAAGAAGGGAGGAAATAATCAGGTGCAACTCTGCTGCACGTGAACAGGACGAAGAGGCAGCGCTCTTGCACGAATCAGAACAGCAGCAGCAACAGACTCCCTCTGAGGAATCCGAAGTAGGCCACGCCACAGACCGGCTTCGGCCCAACAGCTGCATGTCTAAATGTCTGTAAATATATGCACTTGCATATTTGTACTCAGGAGTTCCGTCAAGTACTCTTCAAAGTCCAGCAAGGCAGGCGGCATCTTAGAAGTGGAAGGCCCCGTCTTCAATACGCTGCCGCCTCCGCAGTTTCTCATATGGGCCGCACTGCACTGGCAGACACTGACCTACCTGTTAAGTAAAACAGCAGCAACGGGGGTAACGAAAAACCAAAACAGGACTAAGCGGTCCTCAAACTGTCCTTCGCAGCAACAGCTGCAGCTGCCGTTTCAGTTCCTAGTTCTCATTCGCACCGGAAATTCAGGGAAAAGGGGGAAGTGTCAGGTACTTCATAAGTTTGCATCGTCAGGGAAGCTTGCCGCAAAGAAGTTGTCAGTCTTCATCAGATAGCGTCTCCTGCTTTTAGAAAACTCCTGCAGTCGACACTAGTAAGACACTACACACTATATATGCCTGAAGCTCGCTAGGCTGTGGTCGTTTGCGAGCAGACTCCAACCACTTGCCTTGAAATATTTATTAATATCTGGATGGGACACTTCGGAAATGTTCTTTGAGACGGCCTCCAACCCTGCCTGAAGACAGCCAAAAAAAAAACACGACTGGCGTGTGGTCACGGCATTCCGTGATATTTTAGTGTCTCCACCTAGCAGCTCTAAGCAAAGTCATTTGGAAGGGCCGTCCACAACTTACTTCCGGAACATATGCGTAGAGTGGAAGAGAGTCACCTGCTTCGCTTGCTTGGGCAACTAGGAGAAGATAGTGAGGTGTTTGCAATACAGACTGGGGATATACAGCGTAAACCTGAGGCAGAAGGGTTGGAAGTGCTTTTCGCTCTAGAGTGTCTGCATTATTCAGTGCAAGCGCTGCTCACTCTCTATGCAAGCCTCATGCACTTCGGTAGAAAGCATGAGAGCACCAAAGAGCAGCAGGCTCACCTTGCTGGACCAGTCATTATTCGCCATGCAAGAAGTGTCCCAGGAGAGAACAACCGCAGTGTACTGCCACCAGCGGTGTCTGGACGAAAAATGAGTGACCACAAAATGAGAAACACTCTAATCTAACCTCAAATGAAATTCCACGGGGTGCAAGACCGACAACATTACAAGCTCACCTCACTATTTCGCCAACTTTGAACTTCGGTTCTTCCACTGACACCCGTTTGCGTATATACTTCGCCAAGCCAAACGAGTCTAGATTGCGCCTATACAAACAACGCGCCCATACATGCATGGAAGTGGAGAAAAACTATCTTAGGTGCGTGTCTCGCGCAGTTACACACGAATAACGCAGCCACCGACCCCTCTGCGAGCACTTCTACAGCTTCTTTGGGCAAAGCCTCCAGGTGAGCTTCGACGGGCTGCTCGTTAGTTGCTTCTTTTGTCGGGGTCTGTCCCATAGTCTGCACAACCGCGCCCCGTACTCAATACATTGTGATGCTCAAGGCTCCTATCCACGCCTAAATATTGTAAGAAATGCGTTGTGGCTTCAGCAGCATCTCTGGCCTTTGCAGTAGTGTCTCAAGCAGTCGCAAAATCATGAATCCGCACAGATACATCTAGCGACCGCGGGCTTCGCTCACCTCTTCAGCGTTATCAACAGCATCCAGGCCCTTCCAACTAGCAGGCGTTATCGTGTAGGTAAAGGTTCTCCTCACTGGATATCCCAAGACTGCCTGTGACAAAGTGTCATCAGCGTGTATTGGAAAAGCGCATTTCTGGATCCCCTCACGTCTCTGTCAAATTCGAGAATGCATTCCAGGTTTTCGTTCCCCAAACGTGCAAGATCAAAACACACGCGCTGCAACAACGCTACCAGCGCTAACCTGAGCATCGAGAGGCCGTGGGGGCAGCAGTTTGGGATGAGGGCAGACAAGCGGCGTGTGAATGAGAAGGTCGTACGTGCAAAACGACGTCTGCAAACACGTTCCATACAGGTCTCGGAATGCACAAAGTGCCAACACTTACTGCGTTCTAGCACACAGTTATGCAGATATCCATGTAGCACGCTTTTCGCTGCGCGTGAAACAGTTTAAAGCTTAGATGGGCCGTTAAGGGTTTGACGTGTGAAAAATTTAAGGCTGGTCACCTCTTCAATTTGCACAATGCGGTGCGTCGCCAACACTGGAAAATCAACTGGACACTCAAAGAGAACTCTAGCGCTGCGTTGCTTGTCTGTACCTTCACAAACGGTCCCCTGAAAATGCAGAGTCATTTACGCCCGTTCTTCGTTTTTCAGCCCCAGATGCTTTGTGCCACTATTTGCTGGTGCCAGCTGAGCCTTGCAAACAACCATCTATGTTTACATTTGTAAGCTGGAGCGCCAAGACTTTGCTAGATGCTGGTGTTGGGCTCTTTGAGAATTGCTTTGGTTTGTCAATGATCTCCACAGGCAAGAACTTAAATCGAGGAGCTCCATTCGCCCTAGGAGGTAGAGTATCCGTGCCCCTCAACGTTGGGTTTGCCGGATCTGGTCGTTTAAAAATTAGTTCCGCTGCGTCCCCAGAAGCATGCAACGTTCCCAAAAGATGCAATGGGCCCTTCACTTCACCTGAGATGCAAACAGAATTGGCTTAATCCCTCACAATGCCACCCACGCGTTGGAGCTTGCGGGCGTTCGGCAACACATCCTCCTCGTTCTTAGTCCGTATATTCTCAAGACAGCAATTCCTATTCTACGCACCGTCTGGCTCCTTGTGATACTCCACTAAACTGTCCGGATGGCAATATTCGTATGACCACCAGCCGTCGGTGGTGAAAGTTGAGCACCAACCCTCAAGGCTCCGAATCAGGGATTCAGTTAAGGCCTGCGTGTCAACGCCACGACCAAAATATTGCATTGAGCAAGTTCACTGCCGGCCAAGCGGATCCCTCCACGGGACTGTCACATATTGGCATCTGATTCACGATCTTGGGTAGCTCACAGGTTCACGCGCATTCTCGCGGTAGTCACAGAACATGGGGGCCTCCAACCACACGCGATATTTTCCATTCTGTGGACCTGATATTCCCTTCACTCGCGGGTGCGTGTCGCCGCACACAAACCGGACTTCCGTTTGCCGGCCCTCCGTGCCCCCAGTGTACCACTGCAATGATTGCAGCGCAAGTTGCAGCTTCCCTATCGGCTGTGGCAAAGCTCGTTGCTAATGCTATATATTTTGTGATGTGGCTGTTGCCTTTGGACTTCCTATCCTTGCCGGACAGCGACTACGCGAAACACCAGGCTACAGCAGTAGCACGTGGGCTGCTCGGTATTTGTACGCTCAGCAAACTAGCACGATACCTTGGAAAAACGTAAAAAAAACTGATGAATATCTGAATACCTAGAAAAACTAGAAGGCGCTTGTTCCCTCGCCTAAACCCACCTGCGTCATTGTGCCATCCGCCCACAGCTGATCCATTGAAGAAGCATATGTGCCTAGCTCAAAAAGGTTTTTCCCAACTGTCTTCCCAGTAAGCGCGCTGCTTTTGAATAGGGTCACCTTCCGCCTGAACGCAATTCACTTGCCGCAAACGGGACACAGGATTCAGTAGCGCCATTGTCAGCACCTCGCCTCCTGACACTTCTTGGATAGCAATGCACTAATCGCGCACCCTGCCGCGCTATGCCATGTTGGATGGCGCACCCGATACATAGCTCATAGCGCCAGTCGTCAACGCCGACATCCGAAAATCGAAAACATCTGTCCAATAGCCAACGCAGTCGCGCAGCGCGCAAGTAGCTCTGAAGCTCCGGGCTGCCGACGTGGAGCTCATGAGAAAGCAGAGTTGGCATTTCACATTTTGTTTTGGTTGCATCTTGAGATGAATCCCCGGATAGTGGCACTTTGTCGGGGTCTGCTTCTGGAGTCTCTGATAGGAAATGCTCCAGCCTATCTAACATGTAAAGACCTGATGAAGACCGCTGTGGCAGTAAAGATGCAATTTCATAGTCTGCCATTGTTGTGTACACAATCTGGTTACGAGCGCACTCTGGGATATCTACGTCAGCTAGCCGCCTCGAGAAGTCTATCTGAATGACGCTGTTGGGATTGTCAGCAGTCGGCGGCTCTGCTGCAGCTGATTCAAACAAGCATAGTAGGAAAAAACCACGCAATATCCGCACCAGATGCGAGTTCCAGCGTCCTCTCAGGAGTGGGCTTGAGAGAAACAACTCGTCGAGGGTCTTCCTCCAGCAGCTGCTACTGCTGGTGCGGACAAACATGTTGACTGACTGCGATCACCACTCTAAGAAAGCCGTCCATGAACTGAACAAGGATGAGATCTCCTCTGCGAAGGCGTCAGCTTTACAACCAAATCAACGGAGACATCACCAATCACTTGGAACCAGTAGCGGAAGCGCCTGCCATTCTCTTGAATGACGTACTAGTTGCGTCCCAACGAAACAAGTTTTGAGCTAAGTAATAACCTAACAGTATAAGGAGTACTATGGACAATCTGAAGGCTAGAACAGCATAAACATCCTCGAGATCATGACGCAAGACGAGCGGCCGCCGTAGCTGCGAAGTCCGCAGCTGTCCTCCAGAATACAGGAGTTAGCAACCAGAAATACTATAATGAGGAGGTGTGGCAGTATGTATATTCATCTCGCCAGTGAAAGCTGCTACTTAATTCATGCATGCAATGCTTCGTTGGCCCCTCGTCTGCATGCGGGGGACACAGAGCGTAGTATGCACAGTGGATAGGGACTTTCGTGCTTATACTGCTATTCAGAGATTAAGTAAACATGTTTAGAAAAGGAAACTTCGCTTTTGTTTGTTGATGTAAATGCATAGTGGATGGTCTCTGTTCCAGACACAGTTACCGGAAGTCGCAAATGCTTCCCGGAAACCACCAGACCAGCGGCCACTGCAGGCATGCGGTGTTGGCGAGTAAAAGCAGCTCTCCAAAACTAAAATGCATGACTCCCTATTTTTACTTACTTAGTTATGCCAAGTGTGCGAAGTTTTGCTAACTTTCTTTTGGATATCTGGTGGTGACTGCCTTCGCGGTTTGCTGGCAGCAGGCGGCTGTG